TGAACAGATCTATACAAGAATGATACAACTGCAATTTCCCACACTCACAATTTCGATCCGCTCTGATACTATGTAGAAATGGAGATTTGTACAGAAAGAGAATAAAGATACAGAGAGAGAGAGAGAGAGACAGTGAGAGAGCTCAAACAGTTTGAGGCTCAACCCATATTTCCCATATATCTTTAACCCTAAAACATAAAGGGGGTTATATACAATACAAGAAAGGCCTATTTACATAATTGCCACAAACCCTATATCTAATTACAATAGGACCCCAACATAAATACATATATACATATAAGTGTTTTAACACCTGGATAATGGACTCAGGTGCTTCTGAGAACTATAAGGTTCGTATTGCTGATGGGTCCGTATCCACAGTGGCTGGTACAGGTTCTATTGTTATTTCAAAGAATCTAATGTTAAAATATGTTCTGTTGGTCCCAAATTTGACTTGTAACCTGCTGTCCATTAGTAAAATTACTAGGGATCTTAACTGTATTACTAAATTTTTCCCTACACACTGTGAATTTCAGGACTTGGATTCGGGAAGGATGATTGGCAATGCTAAGGAGTGTGAGGGACTCTACCTTCTTAGAATTGATGGCTCTTTTGAAGAACAAAGTGCAAATTGGGGATCCTCTTTTTCAGGTGTTAGCTCTTATGATGATAGTGCAATTCGGTTATGGCATTATCGATTAGGACATCCTAGTTTCTCTTATCTTGAAAAACTATTTCCTTCATTATTCATTAATAAAAATTCAAAGTTTTTTTAGTGTGAGATTTGTCAATTATCTAAACATGTTCGAAATGTTTATCCAACTCAACCTTATAAAGCATCTCATCCATTTTCAACCATTCACAGTGATATTTAGGGTTCAGGGGCTAGATGGTTTGTATCCTTTGTTAATGACCACACTCAAACTACTTGGATATTTCTTATGAAAGAAAAATCAGAAGTTGGTCTAATCTTCAAAAACTTCAACACCATGATCCAAACACAATTTCAAGCCAAAATCCAAGTCTTTCGAACATACAATGGCAGAGAATATTTTCATTCTATTCTCGGGGATTACCTAATAAGTAATGGCATTATTCACCAAAGTTCTTGTGTGGACACCCCATAACAAAATGGAGCCGCCGAAAGAAAAAATAGACACCTTCTAAAAGTTGCAAGGTCTCTCAAGTTCACAACTCATGTTCCAAAACATCTCTGGGGAGAAGCAGTTCTTACAGCAACCTATCTCATCAATAGGGTGCCATCTAGAGTTCTAAAATTCCAAAACCCTTGCCAAACCCTCACCCGAATCTATCTTCAAACTAGAATCATTTATTCCTTACCATTAAAAGTGTTTGGTTGTTCAACATTTGCTCATGTTCACCAACATCACAAAAGCAAGCTTGATCCTAGGCCATAAAGTGTGTATTTCTAGGTTATTCTCCCAATCAGAAAGGTTATAAATGATATTCTCCTGCCTAGGAAATTTTATCATTCTATGGATGTTGTCAACCTTTCTACCCCAAAACTCATATTCAGGGGGAGAACTCAAACACACAAGAATATCAGTTTTGGTTTCATGAGGTTATTGTCAGACCTAATTCACCAGTTACACCCATTCCTCCTTCACACAATACCCAGCCAGGGTCCACTCAAATCACAGATTCCCAGAATACCCAATCTGAACTCACACAAAACACTAACTCTCAAATCGACACACAGTGTGCAAATAATAAAGAGTTACAAATTTATTCAAGGAGACAGAAAATTCAAAAGGAGATAGAGCATCATACACTTCCCGAGCAGAACCGGGATTCCAACCCGAGTTTAAACAATCCTAAGTCACTTCCAAGTAATATAGTTAATGATACTTGTCCTGTTACTTCCCCTTGTACTCCTATTGCTCTGAGAAAAGGTGTTAGATCATGTACTCAACACCCCATTTCTAATTTTGTGTCTTATGAAAGATTATCCCCAAGTTACCGTGCATTTGTTACTAATCTTTCCAATATAGAAATTCCGATGAGTATCCAAGAAGCTATTAAAAAACTAGGATAAAGAGTAGCTATTGGAGACGAAATTCGTGCCCCAGAAAAAAATGGTACTTGGGAGCTCTTAGATTTACCAAAAGGGAAACAGCCTGTGGGATGCAAATGGATCTTTAATGTCAAATATAAGGCTGGTGGAAGTTTAGATCGGTATAAAGCAAGGCTGGTTGCTGAAGGGTTCACTCAGACATATGGGATTGACTATCAGGAGACGTTCGCTCCTGTAGCTAAATTTAATACAATCCGAGTTCTATTGTCACTGGCAACCAATTTAGATTGGCCCCTTCACCAGTTGGATGTCAAAAACGCCTTCCTCAATGGTGACTTGGAAGATGAAGTCTACATGGAAATTCCTCTGGGGTTTGAAACGAAGAACAATGCCAACAAAGTCTGTAAGCTGTGGAAGTCGTTGTATGGTCTCAAGCAGTCTCCTCGTACGTGGTTTGATTGATTCACGATGGCAATCAAAAGGCACGGATATTCTCAAGGGCAATTAGATCATACTTTGTTTACCAAACATTCACCTCAAGGGAAAACTGCCATTCTTATTGTGTATGTGGATGACATCATCCTAACTGGAGATTATGAAGAGGAGATAAGCAGGTTAAAGACAGTTCTTGCTAAGGAGTTCGAAATAAAGGACCTGGGAGCACTCAAATACTTCCTTGGCATGAAAGTAGCTCGAACCAGAAAGGGTATTTTTGTTTCTCAGCGTAAGTATACTCTTGACTTACTAAAGGAATCAGGAATGTTGGGATACAAACCTGCTAATACTCCCATGGATTTAACTTGTAAAGTGGGAATGAAAGAAAGAAGCTCTCCAAAGGAAGGTATCAAAGACTTTGTTGGGAAACTCATATCTCTTTCTCATACAACACCTAACATTGGCTTCTCGGTTAGTGTGGTAAGTCAATTCATGAATAATCCTACTGATGAACATCTTGATGTTGTATATCGGATCCTCAGGTACCTAAAAATGACACCGGGCAAAGGCTTATAATTTCAGAAAGGAACAAACAAGGCAGTTGAGATTTTCTCAGATGCTGATTAGGCAAGTTCTTTAACTGACCGAAGGTCTACTTCTGGTTATTGCACTTATGTTTAGGGAAATCTTGTTACATGGCGAAGTAAAAAAGAGTTTGTAGTTGCAAGAAGCAATGCTGAGGCCGAATTTAGGGCTATGGCTCACGGTATATGCGAAGGAATGTGGCTGAAAAGATTACTTGAAGAATTAAAAGTTCCAACTGAGAAGACAATGAAGATGTTCTGTCACAATCATGCAGCAATACGTATTGCTAAGAACCCAGTTCACCACGACAGAACCAAGCATGTCGAGATTGATCGCCACTTCATCAAAGAGAAGATCGAGGAAGGAATAATCAAGATGGTGTACACTCCTACATGCCGTCAAATTGCAGATATCCTTACTAAAGCACGACCAATAACTAATTTTGATGCTTTAATCACCAAGCTGGGAATGATTGACACCTATTCACAAGCTTGAGGGGTAGTGTTGAATTCCGGATTTAGATCCCTATTTTCTAGGGAAGAGATTTTTATTTAAGTTAAGACTGTTGAGTTGAATTTGTGAGTATAGAAAGTAGGAGATTTGGTTACTTGATTTTTTTTATTTCCAAATCTGTTAGGGTATGTTTGGTAGGGTGGGTTTGGAGGGGAAGGATAACATTAGTTATGAGAGAAAGGGAAGGAAAGGGAAGGGAAGGATAATTTTAATTTAGTATTGTGTTTGGTTGATTAATGAAGGAAAAGAAAGGGAAGGACAATAATCATGTTTGGGAAAAGAATGGGAAAGAAAAGAAAGGGAATTATTTTAATAAATTGACTATTATACCCTTTTATATTTTAAAAGATATATATATATATATATATAGTCTCTAGGCCCACAAGAAAAGAAAAAAAAAAATTTAGGGCAAATCATTTCAGCCTCTCTAGTCTCGCCTCCATATGTTCTCAACTCTGATATATATATATATATATATATATATATATATATATATATATATATTGTCTCCTAGCAGGCCCACAAGAAAAGAAAAAAAAATATTTAGGGCAACTCATTTCACCCTCCCCAATCTCGCCTCCATCTCCATTTTCATTCTCAAGTCTGAACTTGCCCTCTCTCTCTCTCTCTCTCTCTCTCTCTGCACTACAAGAATCAGAAGTTCAAAACCCATATATTTCAGTTTATCTATCAGTCTGCAAGAATCAAAAGTTCAAAACCCATATCGGTATATCATTTCAGATTGTTCAGAAAATCAAAACTCATATCTTTCAATTTCCATCGTCGCTGTTCCAATTCGGGTTCGCCGTTCGCAAGCTTCAGCCGCTGGCCCGCAGTCTCTCACTCTCTCTGCAACTGCTAACTTGCATGTATATATAATCTTGAGGGTAAAATTGGCATCACAAATATTGCTTCAGCCATTGCCTTCACTTTCCTCCCATTTTTGGGAGGATAAGAAAATTACTGTATAAAGCTATACATAACCCTCCAAAGCCTTCCCTCTCCTTTCCTTTCCTTCTACCCATTTTACCCAAACACAATTTTTTAATCACCCTTCATCACCTTCCCTTCCTTTTCCTCCCATTTCCACTCTACCAAACTGAGCCTTAGTTATAAGATTTGATCTTCTTTCCTGTAATTAGCTACTAGAATTAAGGAGATGTAATTATAGGTTAGTTGTATTTTTCTCCTAAAAATTCTTTGTACCCTACGGTTTCAGAATGAATGAAATAAGGGATTACTTTACTCTTTTTTTTCTTCAGAATCTTTTTCTAAAATTTGACAGGCTATTGCAGGTTTTCAGAGGAATGCATGTGGTATACACAAAAACACACACGCGTGCAATTTTTACATATGATTCAAATGTCAAGGCATTATATGATTGTTTTTCAAATGGCATCCTCTAATAACTTCATAATTTCAATATTTCTACCTGGAATATATCATCACCGAGATAATCCTGTAACATTCGGATAACAGAAGATCCCTTTTCATAGCTTATAGCATCAAATATTTCTAAAACTGAGCGGGCACGGTGTACCTCCACCTGAAAAGAAAAACTTATCAACATGAAAGGACATTATTGCAATGCAGTGTAGTTTCAAAGAGCAATTTAGGAATGAATAATCACTTGTTGAATTTGATTAATATCTCCAGTAATCCTATTGTTGAGGGCAAAGTTATAATTATTTCCCCACAGCTCGCCTCTGTCTCCCTTGGTGCTGCTACTCCACCACAAGCACACACGTTTATGGTCTGTGCAGCACACCCACACACACAGAGAGCAGGTGGACCGATATTATCATCTATTCTGTTACTAAACACACTGTATGAACTTTATAGTGGGGCTTAAAATCAAAAGAGCCAACTAGTGGATTGTATAATATTGTTGACAAAAATGCTATTTCTCAAAGTTCAGTTCATAATTACAAACATGTAAAGGTGAATTTGTAAATTATAGGTAACTCATTTATGCAACTTATAACTACTTTTACCTCAACAGGATGTGAATTTTCCAGTGCATCCATATGTAAACCACTAGTAGTTACTTTAAGAAATTGAGTCCAAACTTTCCACTCAGGAAATAAGCTGTCTGTTGCTAAATAACTTATCTGGAGATATAAAATTGGGTGAAGGCACAATTACTAAAAAAAGTATCCAATAAAATTCCCATAAAGCAGAAGACAGCAAGTAGAAAGATAGAAATCACCCATGTTGCAAAACCCTCGTTGAGCCATAAATGAGTCCACCATTCCATCGTTACCAGGTTGCCAAACCATTGATGGGCGACTTCATGTGCAACAACAATTACGAGCTGGCACAATAAAAGATCCAATGAAAAGGCCTTGCAAGATTTTCAGTGCATACATCGTAAAAGTTTATATATTTTCTACGTATATAATATTTGAAGGGAACAAGAAAAATATAACATTAAAATCAGGTGATTCCTTCCAGACCCACCCTCAGAAGTAATAATAATAATAATAATAATAATAATAATAAATTGGTAGATAGTAAAATTTTCTTGGAACTATAGAATCAAGAATGAGGAAAAGAAGGTGAATTTACATCAGAATTTTCACTTACCCTCTGCTTGCTAGCTGCTGCAGAATGCAAATCATCATGGAGCAGCTCTATTTCACGATAAATAATTAAACCATAATTCTCCATAGCCCCACCAGAAAAATCAGGGACAGCAACCATATCCAGCTTAGGAAGTGGATAATGCATAGAAAAGTATCTAAATGATAACCAGCATAAAAAATCAATCCAAGAAATCAATAAAGGGTCCTACAAATAGAATTTACAAATTACACCACAGAGGAAACAAAGATTTTCTTTCTCAATTTGAACTCCAAAATACAACAAACTCACTTTAGGTGTTTTGAACTGTTTTGATGATTGTTCCAATGTTTTTATTTGTTGTACAGTATAGTATGAGCTGTCACACATGTATTAGTAGTGTCACTCACAGTTGAACAGTTAGATTTCATTGTATACTAGGGTTTACTACAGTTTTCTGTATTCTATAGCCGCCTTCACCTACCCCTCGTTACCATGTATATCATACCATATATGTAAGTTGCGCAAGGCGGAATAGTTGTGGAACAAAGATATGGATTAGTAACCTGGGGGGGTGAAAAGGTTCGACTTGATTCTTGCCCAGTTTAAATTTTACCAAATTAAAACTAAATTAAACAACCCACAAAGCAAAAAATTAAGTACGAAGTAAAAGTAAGGTTAGAGCTTGACACCGGGATTTTAGCGAGGAAACCCAAGTTGGAGAAATTCATCCAATTTCAGGGAAAAATCTCAAAGACTATCACGCGATCTTGAGTGAAAAGATCCATCTTAGTTGAAGCAAAGTACAATTGACTACAACTCAGGCTCACATCCCTTCACTCTACCAAGAACCAATTGCTAAATGTCTTTGGCGTTGCGACTCCCCCGTCCAAATGCTCTCGACTTCAGGCTTACTCCCTTGATCTCTATAGAAGGATTGTCGGTAGATCAATGAGCACTCCGCGAATGCTTTGACCCCTTCAAAGTGTTATCTCTTCCTCCTTCTCTTCACAATAGAATTGTTGAAGTTGAAAGAACAAATTTGCTTTGATGACCGGTTGCAATAGATCGTCGATGCGAACAAACTCCAATGAACAAGAGAAACACATTTTAAATCACCTGTGTGTGTAGTATGTGTATTCCTTTTTTTCCTAGTTGGTACTCACACACACTTGTCTCTTTTGAGACTTGAACCCCCGACCTCCCTTTGGGAAGTAAGAGGCTAATACCACTAGGCCACTGGCCGTTGGTAATGTAGTATGTGTATTCTCAAAGTGAAAAATAAACAATCTCATGTAGTATGTGTATTCTCAAAGTGAAAAATAAACAATCTCTAAAAAATTATTTAATGGCTTTCTTAGGGTTTTGAAAACTTGATTGCAAAAGCCGTTATGATTTTTTAAATCATTAGAAACATATATAGGTATTTAGAGAGACCTAGAAACCCTTGGAAAACTTAGCAGTTTCGTGCAAAACCTTCTCTCTAAAACCTTAACAAAAAGGTATTCAAATTTGACTTTAAAAGAACTTTCCTTTTTGGTTCAAACAAGCGCAAGTTGTTCTGTTTCAAAACACAACCGGTTGTGTTTTTCCTAAGAACTACTTTATCACCTGCATAAAGGGCAACCGGTTGAGTTTGAAATGGAATTGGTTGTACTTTTTACTAAGGGTAAAAATACAACTGAATTTTACCAAACCTAACTCTCAATGAAAGCATAAACCCTATGTTATATAAAGTGTGTCCTCACTCTCTTACCTATCTAAGTGTGTTCTCATTGATCCCAGAGTGAGTTAGCACATGTTGTTCCGCTTTTGACCTGGAGATTTAAAAGTAAATCTAAAATTACAACTAGATCGAACTCGTTTTGACATCGAAATATGCCAATTACAATTTATTCTTCAGAATGTATAGGTGTTCTCCATTCACCTACTCTTGTAACTTCTCCTATATAAACCCCATTGTATTAATATATTATGCCCTGAATAATATATACGTTTTGATATATTCTCTCTCTTTCAACATGGTATTAAGGCGGAAATCGATCCCTCTTTAAATATATAATTTTTTACAATCATATTCAGACTTCGATCTCGATTCCATCTCGGCTTTCTCTCAGCAATCTCTTCTCGGCAATCTCTCCTCAATGGTCTCGGTTCTTGTCTCAGCAACCTCTCTTGGATCCCTCCTAGGCCCTCTCCTCGGCAATCTCTCTCAAGTTCATATCAGCTTGAACTTGGTTCTCTCATCTCAACTCCCTCTCGCTCATATCTCTCTCTTGTTTGGCAGCCCTCCTATGGATACCAAGGACTCTCATCTTCTTGGGTCAATCACCTATACCAAACTGAAAGGCTCGAACTACCTTCAATGATCTCAAGCCATAGAGGTATTCTTACGGGCTCGAGGAAAACTATCATATCTTCAATCAACCAAACCCACCACTGATGAAAAGATTATTGAGGCTTGGGAGAAAGAAGATGCTCATATTATATTATTACTTGGTTATGGAATAGCTTGGAAATTGAGATCTTTCTTCAAAGAAGAATATCATCTTCACAAAAGAATATTTCTCGTATTTATTAGTTGTACCAGGACATATTTAATCTCTAGCAAGGAGATCATTCTGTTCTGTTGAAGATTATTGCTCAGAACTGAAGGGTACGCAAGAAGAATTTAATGTCTACCAACCATTGACTACAAACATAGAACATCATAAACAACATAGGGAGGAGTTACGGGTGGCAAATTTTTATCTGGACTTAAACTTGAACTTGCTCCGATTAGTTCACATAATTTGTTTGGCAAGGAGATACCCACAGGCTATAAGACTTTTACTTGAGTTCAAAGAGCATCTATTCATGCCCCTATGATTGAGAAGGGAAACCACTCTGCTTTTGTTGTTCGTGCTGAGCGACATGATACTTCCCGTGGAGGACAAGGGGGCAGAGGTCGTTCCAACCCAAGTCGTGGTACATATGGCAGCACAGGGATCACGGCAGCAAGAAGTGTGATAATCTCTCTTGTAACTAATCTAGATTCTAGAGAGGCCATTTCATCAACTTGATGTTAATAATGCCTTTCATCGTGGTGACCTTACTAAGACAGTCTATCTGGTTCAACCACTTGGGTATACGTCCAAGGGGGAGTCTGTGTCATCTCAAGAAGTCTATCTATGACCTCAAATAGTCCCTCGTGCATGGTCTAATAGCAATGGTAGCTCATGGTATTACCATAAGTCAGGCTGATCACTCTCTCTTTTTTAAGAAAATGAAATGTGGTTGTGATTCTGGTAGTGTATGTAGATTATATCATTATCACCGGCATTGACAGAGATGGAATACAAGTTTTAATCAATCACTTGAGTTCTGGCTTCCTTACTAAGGATTTTGGCAAACTTCGGTATTTTCTAGGAATTGAGGTGGCTCGGTCGAAGTAAGGTATTAGTCTCTTTTAGTGGAAGTACACTTTTAATCTCTTACAGGATACTGGATATCTTGGTTCGAAACCTGTAACTACACCCATGGAAACTAATGTAAAACTTAAGGTGGATGATGGTGACCCACTCGATGATCCCCAGATGTATCGGAGACTTATAGGTATACTTATTTACCTCACAATCACTCGTCCAGACATTTATGCAGTGTGCTCCGGGATGTGGTTTGCTTTATCGATCTTCTGGACATCCTCAGATTGAGGGATACACAAATGCAGATTAGGCAGGTTCTCCTTCTAATCGACGGACCACCACGGGTTACTGCACCTTCATAGGTGGAAATCTAGTAACTTGGAGGAGCAAAAAAAAAATTAAGTTGTGGCTCGTTCCAGTGTTGAAGCAGAGAATCATGCCATGGCGCACATTGCCTGTGAACCTACTTGGTTGAAGACTCTTTTACAGGAACTTGGGATTTCAGTCAAGTGTCCAATTGCTCTCCATTGTGACAATCAGAAAGCTATTCATATTGCTAGCAATCCAATCTATCGAGAGGACTAAACACATTGAATTAGATTGTCATTTCATTTGATCTAAAGTTGACTCGAACGAGATTGTTACACCTTATGTTCCTTCTGGCAGTTAACTAGCCGACATTTTCACTAAGGCGCTTCCCAAGCACTCTATTGATTCCACATGTAGCAAGCTAGGAGTTATTGACATCTACTCTCTAGCTTAAGGGGGAGTGTTATACAATATAGTATGAGCTGTCACACGTGAATTATTAACTGTCACACGTGAATTATTAGTTGTCACGCTCACACATGTACAGTTAAATTACATTGCATACTAGGGTTTACTAAAGTTTTCTGTATTATGTGACCGCCTTCACCTACCCCTCATTACCATGTATAGGGTTTACTTGTTCTCCACTCACCTACTCCTGTAGCTTCTCCTATATGAACCCCATTGTATTATTGTATTACTAATTGAATAATATATACGTTTTCATATATTCTCTCTTTCAACATCATTCATGTAGCTTCTGCTTCGGGCAGTGCCACCAAGTTTATGAGCAGATTAAGGGATATTATTCTTGTGTTGCCTTTTCAGTGGGAAAGGGAGTGATTCAGTGTTTTCATGCTCAGATTCCATCTCCTTCCAGACTTAAAGATTGATAGTTTATGAGCACCAGTTTTGTTCTGAGGACTATGATAAGAATGAAATCTCCAATTGCTTGGCGATCCTAATGGACAGTGATGCTGAAAAACACTTCCATCTCAGCCTTTAACGTTGTTATTTAACAAACTTAGAAACACATTCATCTAACCCTTGAGCCATTGTCAATCAACAAACTCAAAATATCTCATGTATGTTCCTCAGTCATAGATCTCTAATTTGCTGAACTACATCATGATGGACAGGATTAGGCAATAATGATTTTTTCAGTTAGTTTCCACTGGTAGGTTCAGCTAATCTAAATATTGAGTAACTTTTTTATGGATTCACGTACTCCGTATATAGATCAAGTGTCTTCACTGCAACACTCAAAGCAAACTTTCCTTTATCACTCTTGCCAACAGGACAGTATGCACGAACCTTAATCCCTGCATGAACAGTTTAAGAATCTATGGAACAAAAAACAAAAATCATCAAGAATAAAAGTGATCAGCTACTGAGCTTTATGCATACCGTCAGCAGTGGTATCTTCAATATAATCAAATAAACCGATTACAATAGCGACCAAATAAGTTGACATAATTGGTGATTCCTCAAAACACACAGTCTTGAGGTGCCCATTAAGCTTTTCATGGATAACTGGCATATTAGACAATGCTGTCAAGTCAGATGGAACATCTACTGTTATCTTGAAGGTGGCCTGTCAAGAATGTAATAGAAATGCAAACAGTTTAGAAGATTCTCAGTTCCCTTAAAACTACATAAGAAAAATACAATCTTATGAGAATTTACAATTATACTTATGAGTAAGCATAAACACACGTACGCACATGAGAAAGCATAAACACACGTACGCACAACCAAAAAGAAAGAAGCAGGCATCAACTTGAACTTCAATTGGCTAAGATAAAAACAAAAACAGAAAAGAAGGTATAGTATATCCAGTTGTCTGTATAGTAGAAACATTAAAGAAAAAAAGAGAAGAGAAATGAATTACTGTCCTTTGTCCACTTCTCTTCTCATGTATCACTATCAGTATCAATTTTTATAAGAATATGAAACTGTCTTGGTCATTGCATCCTATAAACAAGTTCTATGCACGTGTAGTTTCCAAAATGCAATGAAGCAACCCGATATAGCTGTGAAAACTTAGTACCAGTAGCAATAATAGTCCAATGGAACACAATTCCTTTACTGAAAGATGGCCAACCATGCCACCTCACTTTGATCAAAACCGTGACAGTTCCTTATTCATGGCTCATAAATAAACATCTTAGAATCCTACACTAAAGGATTCGCACAAAATATTGTTACAAGACATATAAGACTTTATGTGTGATCACATGGAAATGAATAGAGTAAGGTGCTTACCAACATCTATTTGCATATAAGAGCATCAAATTAACGTGTGTCCCACCTACTCAATGTGCTGGGAGGGAAAGATTGGAACAGCACTAACCTTTAACATTATTTTGCAAAAAGATAATTGCTATATGCAAAGATGATAACAGTACTACTCTTTGCTCTATAGAACAATAATTCATCTTTCCATAGAGCAAAGAGAGGTCCCAGTACCACTATGAATAGGTAGCAAAACTTAATTAAACGTACATATATCATGCATTAGTTCACACTTCACACATTATTCATAATTCAGTCATGTCTCTCTTTGATAAATTTATCTATGGTAGGATTGATGGTTGATTTTGCTGATGAGAACAGAGGCATTGCTCGAAATATGATAAATATTCCAAGTGGAATGGACTAGGTGAAGAATCAAGCTGACTCAAGAAAGAGATAGAAGGTAGTTCAAGACGGTGTTAGGTCAATAGAAATTAGGTTGGTAAATTTTGTAAAACAAAACTGGAGTCCCTAACTTTTGTTTTAATTTCTAGCTTAGGTTAGAAATTTCAAAAGTTAGTGTTAGATGTCACCTCCTACTCAAGGTTAGAAAAGTAGTTTCAAGTTATTATCAAGGGTATACGCTTATTCTTCTTTAGGGTTCCTACTCAAGGTTGGAGAAGGAATTTTAAGCTACATCAAGGGTAAAAAAGTAGTTAGCACATTTGTTGGGACAGCGGAAGCGAGCGAACACAAAGATCCAAAGAAAGCCAACAAAGCAATCACAAACAAACACAAGATATACACGGTTCACCCAAACTCAAGGCTACGTCCATGGATGAGAAGAGATTTCACTATGATTCATAGAGATATTACAACAATAGAGTGCCAACACCACGTACATGTCTTTTTACCAGTGTCATTGGTGTTTTTCCTACTCTACCAACCTATAAATTACCTCTACCCATCAACTCCCTGGTGAGACTACAAACTCAATTCCTTGTTCAACAAAGGATTACTTGCTTAACAAGAAATTTCCTTACAAAATACAACTTTAATATATAAACCTAATTAGAATAGGAATTTGAGACACAATTTCCAACAATCTCCACCTTGGCTCAAATTTCATCCAGCCAATCATCGCTTCCCATGGCATTAATCAAAACAATTCTTTTGCAGCTTTAATCTTGATGATACTCCCATAAAACTCCGATTGTCCACATTATATGTTGCTCGATCAGTCAAACCTCCAAAGCTCCACCTTGACTACTTGAGCTCTATGCCATGTAACCAAGCTGATTGACTCTACCTACAACTGAAGCCCGTTGCAGCACATGTTGAGACGTCTTGTGTTTTCTGGATCTCCTTCACCTTTGGCTCTGATACCAATTTGTTGGGCAACGAAAGCGTGTAAAAGATTCAATAAAAGCCAACAAAACAATCACACACAAACACAAGATATACATGGTTCGGCCAAAACCGGCCTACGTCCATGGATGAGGAGATAAGAGATAGTATAACAATATGATTTATAGAGATAGTACAACAATATAGTACCAACACCACCACTCTATGAGCCTATTTCCTCGCTACCAGCGTCACCGGTGTTTTTCCTACTCTACCCATCAACTCCCTCATGAGATTACATCTCTCTCAATCTCATAAGTCTCAATCCAAAGCCTATGTATCTATTTATAGAGTTCCAAACCCAATTCCTTGTTAGACAAGGATTACAATATCTTAGAAGCCAAGACTTGTGAAATAAGAAATTACCAAATAGAATACAACTTTAAAATAGAAACATAATTAGAATAGGAATTTGAGGGACAAATTCCGACAAAATTCAAACTAGGTTTGCATGTATATTTTGTTTCTCCATTCTCTTTTTCATCATCAAACAGGGATTGCATGCGAGGTTTTTGGATATCAAGAACAATAATTGAGAATATGAGAAAGTAGGGTTCATGAGGATGATGACACTCAACTCCTTTATTGAATAAGTAACTGAAATCTCTCTCATTAAGGAGATCTTTAGAAACTATTAACATCATCTAATACAAAATGAAGGAAAGCCATTTGAAATTTTGGTTGTTTATGAGATTTCACCATAAATTGTTGTTTCTTTCTTTAATGATTCTTACATTTTTTTCCTTTGGCAGATCGGAATACATTTTTTAGATCCAGAAAAGCTCTGATACCAATCAATTCCTCTATAATGACTGATTTTTCTCAGACTCCTCTTTTCTTTCATTTTCTTATCCATCCCAACTTCATCCCAAGTAGATTATTGGGTCACACCTTCTAAAACTAACCAATATAAAGTTTATCTTCTGGCCTGTGTTGTTATCCCCAAGCTTGTATCAATGGCGCTTTCTAGTTCTGATGTTACTAAAGTAAAATCTGTGTCACTGTCCGGATTTGATAAAAAAATAATAATAATAAAAAGATCATGAATGAATCATTAAAAAAAAAAAAAAGGGCCATGAATGAATCAGAACATAGACAAAAAAAAAAATGGTAGTTTATGATTTGGGAAGATTTCGATTTGTGGAGGAAATGTTTGAATGTAACGAACTTGATTCTGGAGAGTTGAAGGAAGATAGATTATTGTTCTGGAGATTGAGTTTGTAGGAAACCTGGTTGAAGAAAGTCCTGAGAGGGCTGAGTTTGGCGAAATCAGAATAGAATTAATTTTAGCAATATAAAGTTGTGTGGCAAATCACCACTGTCCACGTTTAGGGTCAGCTAAACTTCCCTTTTTCTCAGTCGTTTAATGTAGCACCACTCATATATAAAATGCCCTTTAGAAAATAGGGGTTCCTTTGGAGATATCTTGTGTGAAACTTACCTCAAGTGAGGTGACAGCCTGCTTGAAGAAAAACACTTGGGTTAGAACTACAAGTGCTGTGAGCACACTATGCCTCTTATCTTGAGTGGTCGTCAAGGTACACGTGGTGTGGCCACTTTGGCAGCCATGGCAGCCATTTAGGTCAAGTCCTTGTTTGGTGCATTAATGCTACATGTACAATAATGAATCATATACCTATATGGATTAATCTAAAAGGAGAAACATGAATTGATAATAACATATACTAAAATCATGAAATAAGTTGCCCATAACTGCAACACAGAAATATATACAAGTCATGGATAAAAGGATGTTTGCAGATACTACCAGGAAAAAAAGAAAAAGAAGAATGTTCACAGGTACCTTGAAAGCCGGCTCGTCCCAGCACGGAAAACACATTCTTGCATCCACAGCTTCAAACTGAGTCACAGCCATGTTCTTCTTCACATCCCCATCTATATAAGTTCTGTTAAAAGTCAAAGGAACATATATCACTATAGAAATGTTGGATTTTGTGGACAAAAATTGTAAACTAAGAAGTTCTTATGAACTTCTATTGGACAGCATAAGGAGCATATGAGGTGTACTACATGGTATCATAGGCTAAAAAAGCGTGATGTCCATTCATAAAGGCACGGTGATGAAAACTGATGGCCATGATACAATTCTAGAAGCAACAATTGAATGGAAAAGTTCTGATCAATTTTTAAAGCAGACACTTAAAACAAATAGGAAAAAATGTATCATGAAGCTGTCCTAAGAGAATCCTCTCAGCCATTGAATTGACAGATACACCCCATCAGTCTCTCAATACAATGGCTGAGAGGGCACTTTCACTGTGAGAGAGCCCTCATGATAGAGTTGCTCTTTAAAATAAATGTACAACCTAATTTAGGAAGTAAGCGTAGGATTCATGTGCAGATGTTTAGATCGAAGTATTTAAACCTTTCTGAAAAAGTGAAAGGTACTTTCCTTAAAACAATAAGACAACACTCATTAAGGGGCATGAGACATTGAAAGGGTGCAACCAGGGAACATGACCTATTGAAAGTGCCATCAAGGTGTACCAAGAACTCATACAGATAGGATCCTCCTACAGTCCATTTGCGCATCACAAATCAAGAGAGGTTGGCACAATGTAAGGTTGCTTCATTGCGATCTAGAGGTCAAAGGTTCGAAATAAGAAAACAACCTTTCCAGCTGCGTACATTCTACCCTCCCCAAATCCCAAAGTGAGCCTCAGCTAGCCCGTTTAAATCAAGAGAGCTCAAGTATTTGGAGTTTCAGGGAGTCCTTGTGTTCTTTTGTGTCTTCTTGGTTTAAGTGCTTTCCAGAAAACACTTCATTCGGGTTTTCATTAAGTTCATAGAATCTGGTTATGAGAAAAGTCAATTTCGACTTTTTCTTATCTTGAACCCAAGAAAAAGAAGAGTCTCCATTCAACTTGCAATAATTACAATTAAATGGCCCAGTTGAACTGAGTTTTTCATTTTTCCATTCTCTTTCTTTTTCTTGGAATAACCAAGGGTGTTCTTACCCACCTCCGGGAGCGGGAATATTCCCTTTGTATACATCCAACCACCCCACAGCCAAATGTAAGGGCTAAACTCAGTAGAAGTTAAATTGGAGAACCAAAAGGCTCTAGAAATGTGATGACCCTGTGGACGGGTGTGCAGGGGCCGGGTGCGAGACACTAACAAGCTTCCACACTGGCGAGCTACAGGTGCACAATCCCACATTGCCTGAGAAAGGAAAAGGTGAAGTACTTATATGTAGGTGTGTCACTCCAATTAGTACGAAGCCTTTTGGAATAAAGCTCAAGAGCAAAACCGTGCGAACACATGTCCAAAACGGACAATATCATATCATGTGATTGAGTGGATCTTTAAAAGAAAACTTTAGTAGGCTAGTACCCCCCATCGGGTTCTACTCAAAATCTTCTTCTTCTTTTTTCTTTCTTCTTTCAGGTAAATACTCACACAGCATGTCCACTACAGGCCTCCAATCCCTCACCTCAAATTGTGGGGAGGTAAATACTCAAAATTTTCATTATTTATCTTTCCTTGATTTTCTTGACAACCAAACAGAAGAACAGAAAATAACCAAAAGAAGAGAATTTACCCTCTGTAGAAACCCTTAAGGTGCTCATTAAGAACCCCAGAGAAGCTAATCCCCAAAACTCCATCCCCAACACTGAGCACTTGATCAAAGACCAACACAAGCATCTCATCATCACCGTCCTCCACAACATCAGATGGACCACACTTCTGCAAAATCACAAACAGTTCATGATCACAAAACTTAGAATTGCATTTAAACGAAGATCAACTGTTCGCATAACAAAGTCAATGAAATTTACTTGGTTTTGAGAATCAGTGAACGACACTTCCCCAATGTCGAGCTCCAGAGCATTCAAGACTAGAAATTTAGTGGGACTGACGATGGAGAGTTCGATTCGAACAGTACCCGAAAACGTGCAAGCCGAGAGGTCAGGTTTTAGAGCGAGATCGTAACGTTTGGGGATTGCAAATTTGGGCAGTCTGCTTAGGCCTTTGAATTGCTGAAGGCTCTGTTCATCTTTCATCTCCATCTCTCTTCTCTCTGTCTCTAAGTTGGTTGTGGTATGGAGCAGTGAGCCTATTTGTTGACTTGAATAGTGAAATATCTCGGTTGTTTCTTTCAGATTGCGACTCCATGGCTCGTGCTTTGAAATTTCGATCAGTATTGGTGTCGCCTTCAGTGATCAATTCAAGCTGGAAAGACAAGGGAACACGCACATATTGGAAGGATAGATTTGTGCTCATCTATTAATTTGATGAAGTCAGTCTAGACGACATAAAAGTGTTAATATTTTAAAAAGTTTGTTTTTAAAAATAATTAAATTACGGAGTAAAAGTAAAATAATTATATTTAAAATCATTTCACGTTCCAATAACCATTCTACTCTCACATCCAATCTCAATTCATTCCACCACACCAAGCTAGCCCTAAAAGTTGTTAATATTTATTTTAAAAAATTTGACTGGCTATTGTTTTTTATTTTTAAGTCATTTAAAGTCATTTTTAGTCACAATTTTTTAATATATTTATATATTATTTTTATCTTATATTAGATGTTCATTTCAAAAATTTTAATACACAAAAAATATGAATCAAAATTTTTCAAGTTGACAAGTAATATGGGACGTAAATAGTATGTTTCATGTTCTCACAATGCACTTTAAACTCTTATTTTAAAATATTACATTATCTGTTAATTATATTAGCACGAAAATGACTGTAAAATCTTAACTTGCCTGGCGTGTTTGCAATCTTTTCAAGAATCCAACGCCATTAAGCACCATGTTAGAGACTCAGATTTAAGACACCTCTTACACACTAAGACTTATTTTACATGGTATATATATATTTAATATAAGTGTTTAATACTTTATGCATATATTCACGTGTCTTCCTTCATCCCTAGAATAATATGGGTATCTCCATGTGACAACTCATTTGCTAATAAAGTTTAAATTTGGTGTGCATTTGAGGGCGTACATAAAATTTAGAGGAGTGTACTTGTAAAATTTGAAGTTTCTTTATCCATGTGCGTTTTTTATACGTACTATGTTTATCAGCTATGCAACACACCGAATCACAACACTTAATCGTCACTGTAACGGCTATAAAATATTTGTGCATGCAATACTGTCCATTCAGCATATTACATTGTGATACAATGTTACAATGTTATAATACCATTAAATCGATAATTTAACACTTATTTAGTTGTCCGTTGTCGATTTAAAATTATTATGTACGTCGATAATGTAAAAAAACACAACAGATACAAAAGAGGAAGACGGGACGAGTTTGATTGCTTTCACATCTACAACTCTTAACTCTCTCTCTCTCATCATTAACTTTGATCATTATAACAATTAATAAGTGCCCATCAAAGTAAAAATTATATGTCTTTGTGTCTATTATATATATATATATATATATATATATAATAGCTTTATATAGATGGGATTGTGTTATATCCCTCTCCCCGTGTATAGATCACCAAAGATTGTGATGTAGTGGTTACGTTTTTGCCTTTTAAAATATCTCGAAAAAAATAAAAACAAACAAGCAAATTTTACCAACTAATGCAAATGGTGAATGTAAACGAAAACTCAGATGCTTTTTCAAAAGCACTTTACACTTTACCCTCCTATTAAATTTGTGTCGAAAATAAAAAAACACTTTACCAACTAATGCAAATGGCGAATGTAAACGAAAACTCAGATGCTTTATCAAAAACACTTCACCCTCCTAGTAAATTTTTGCCAAGGGCTTCTATCGCTGGATCACTCCAAAGGGTGGTTCTATAGCTCGATGGAAGTCTTTTGCAGGTATTATAATTATAAAATTTCCAATATTAAAGTTCTCGAAAACTACTTTCATTCAGGCTCAAAACCATTTAAGGAATCAAAAAGATTGAATCAAGAAATTTACAGACCCCTAGATATGCATGCATGAACACAGTTTACCTTCATATTCTTGTAGACAAAGAATACCAAAATATTCTTGAATGTAACATGAATTTCATTTTTGACATTGGGAGGTAACTAACTTGAAGTCTAATGACCTGAGAGGGTTGATATCGCTCATCAATTCAGTCAGGTTATATAACTTATATGAAATTAGAGATGGTACTGAAAAATAAATGGAGTGCTTTGGAGTAGAAATATCTCTTTAGGGCCTGAAAACTCGCTTCAAACAGTGGGGTGATTAGGAGGGAAGTGCAACATAGTACAAACAAACTGTTAAGTCACAAAGCGGGAGAGAGGCAAGAGTAAGTGCTTGAGTAGGAGTCTCAAACCGGCAAAAAATCTAAGTCGCACGGAGTGGGAGTGAAAGTGAGAGCAAATGTGCGGGCGACACCCATCTAGGAATTATGCGACTTGCTACAAAGTGCATAGTTTAGGGATTGGGTAAACCCTTGTTTTTTCTTTCTTTCCTTTCTCTGATGAAACATTTCTAATAATCACTTCTTCAGATATCAGAATACCATGCATTGATATATGAAGCTAGCAATCTTCCCCATTTTAGAGGAGTATCACAGGTGAAGCATCTCTCCAAAGAGTTTTGAACTGCACACATTGTTAGGATAATTCTTGTATTTGTTGACAAATTTCTTTCCAATTTGTATTTGCGAGGAAATTTACTCGAGAACATCTTAGCAAGCCGCTCCATGGAACATGATGCTCAATCATATTAGGCAAAGGTAAGAAACACCTTAGGATTTAAGCTGGTGATGGACGGACTTAGTTTAAACCTTCCTTGACTTGGGCTGACACTACACCGGTGAAAGGAAATGCACCGGTACAGCCTGACGACCTAATTTTTTTGAACCAGTGCATAGATTCAAACACAAGACTGAATCAAAGTTGACGTCACAAAAATAAGCAGGGTGACCTGTGCAACTCCCTCTAGGTGTATAAAGAATCACTACATCATTCTATATCAACTATCCACTTTTGCATTGGCTACTTTCACAAGTGTGTTAATAGAACTGCAAAAAACAGCCAACAACTCTTCAGAATTGAATTATATTGACAATGTATGTAATTTTGATCTTTAGATGAATCTTTTCCAAAACACTATGTGATCAACAGCAGCAGTCACTAAAATGCTCATGCAGCTAAGCACAGAGTAATCTCAAAGGACAAATCTCCTCATTTGTGGCTTGTAACAAAAGCACGAGAGAAATGCTTCCAAATTCAAAATCCAAGAATTCAGTGCTCCCAAATGAAACATTAATTTTTTCTTGCAAAATGCAGGTCATGCCAACCAATGTTTAGTTACAAGAATCACTTCGATGGCATTTTGAATTCAAAAAGATTCAATTTGATGAGTTCAGCACAAAAACTCTGTTTCATGATTTTCAAAGTCAACTGATTGCATAAAGTTAGCAGCCATAGAATTCATTCTTCCATGTCAATAAATGACATTTTCATATGAAGAAAGCAACAGAAAAATGGTGACCATACATTATCCTTCTAGGCCAAAACTATCAACAGCCAAAACCATAGCCAGCAATTAGAAAGCAATTTCAAAATTTATAAGCCAAAACTTCCTCCTGGCTTTTTAATGGACAATAAACTTCTCTCAAAATGGAAAATGTTGCCTTACAATCAATCCTCTCTGGTCTAGCATACAGTCAAAACTCAACACAGCTCCTAACAATACCAATTACTGAGCTCTTGAAGCAGCTCCCAATACTACAAAAAGAAATCATTCAATAACAAAGCACATGAAACAACAACTATAGCTAAACCACATATGGAGAAAAATGAGCAATGCTTACAATGCTCATAGAAGGGACTATTTCTTTGAATCCTTGCTTTCCAAATACTTCTTCAGAACATCCATAACCGATCCAAAATCTGCCTTCACTTGCACTGGCGGATTGGCATAACGACAGGCCATCTCCGGTATATCCTTCGAGTGATACTCAACCTTTGACTGCGTAAACTTCAGTCCATGAGCTGTGCTCACCACTACGGTTCTATCTGTAGGCCGAATAACCCCACTGTCCCTAAGCTTAACCAATGCAGTCAGTGCAACCCCGGTGTGAGGGCATATAAACATGCCAGTTGAATCTGCTTGAGCCATGGCATCCATCAATTCTTCCTCGGTTGCCTCCTCGACAATCCCATTAGATTTTTTCAGAGCAAAAACAGCCCTATCAATAGAGACAGGATCACCAATCTGTATTGCAGAGGCAAAAGTAGTATTAGCTTTTACGGCTTTGAAATCGGCCCACCCTGACTTGTAATGGAGGTAAAGCGGATTGGCATTTGCAGCTTGAGCACAAACAAGCCGTGGAATTCGATCCACGAGTCCCAATTCTTGGCACATTTTGAAACCCTTATAGAATGCATATATATTCCCAAGATTTCCACCAGGAACAATCACCCAATCCGGCACTTCCCAATCAAATTGCTGCAGAATCTCAATCGCAGCCGTTTTCTGACCTTCAAGTCTCAAACTGTTCAAAGAATTGGCCAAATAGATTGGCAATTCAGATGTGACTTCACGAATTAGCTGCATACACCCATCAAAATCTGTATCGATACTCAACACAAAAGCCCCATTCGCAATTGGTTGAACCAATTGAGCAATTGATATCCTGTTCGCTGGTAGAAACACAATGGATGGTATTCCCGCGGCGGCGCAATAGGCTGATAGCGCCGCAGAGGTATCGCCTGTCGACGCACAACCAACGCCGACCACAGGGCGCTTCATTTTCCGCAGCCGATTCACTTGGCTGACCAAAACAGTCATGCCCAAATCTTTGAAACTACCGGTGTGACTAATACCACAGTGCTTGACCCACAAATCGTTCATGCCCAGAAACTGTTTGCCGAAACGCTCGGCCCAGAAAAGGTTCGAGTTTCCCTCGAAAGCGCTGACGATGTCGTCGTCGTCGATCTCCGGAAGGACCCATTCCTTCTTGGACCAAACCCCAGACCCATAAGGCCAGGTCGTCTTCCCAATCCGTGAATCAAACAGTGATCTCCAGTACTGGCCGTCGTATTTCTTCAACGCGGCCATGTCGTGCTGGACATCGAGAAGGCCGCCGGAGGAGCTCCGGTAGACGATCTCGTCGAGCGAGTACGACTCAGTTGAGTTGGGATCGGCGTTGAAGGGGACGTACTTAGCGGAGAAGCCGTGGAGGTTGTGGTGATTGTGGCGGCGAGCCTCGTCTCGGATGTTCTCGTCGGCGGGGCGGCGGTGTTTGATGAGTGGTTGTGGAGGTGGCGGCGTGGCGTCGGCGGTGGGGGAGTGGTCGGGTGAGGCGGAGGCTCTTATGGGAAGGTAATGGTGGGTGATTCTAGGGTTTCGGTAGGTGGGTTTGGGTTGGGAGCGAAGAGAGAAGGGGGAGGAGGATTGAAAGAGAGAAGAAGCCGCCATTGTAGAGAGAGAAAATGTCTCCAACGTTAGTTTGGGGAGAGAAGACAATAGCGAGTCTTATAGAGTTTAGTTTGGTGAGTCGATACGGACCCGTGACAGTGCACATCTTGGTTTGGTAAAATAACAAAGATGATGAGAGAGGGAGGAGTAACCCAAAAAAAAAAAAAAAAGGTGTACAGCTGTCAACTGTTGTGAACCAAGAAAAACAGTTATTAGTATTTTATTTTATTTTTTACAGCCTTTAACAGTGTTATTTTTTAGAGGGTAATATTAGTGAAGGGGATGGTTGCTCGTCCACCACTTTAGGTTACAAGACACACCGTTTTTAAAATTGATTTCCAACCAATCATATATACAATTGAATCCATCATTTGAGTTGAGCTCACTCAAATAAAATTTATTTAACTTTTCAAATCTCTTACTATTTAAATATTATTTTTATTTTTAATTATTGTATATGTCGGTCTAATTCTTGACCTACATTTACATTCTATAATTTATCATTAACAGGAGTTAATTTTACCTCTTTCATCGTTAGCTCACTATTAATCGAAGATAACATTTCTCTTTCCTTATCATCCATCATAACATTTGTACTTCTTCCGCTTACTTTATTATTGTTTGTTTTTCTATCTACACTTTACTACATACAATATAGTTGGCTTAATAATCCGCCCATAAAAAAATTTCTTTCAATTTATTTAAAATTTGTTTGTCACATAGTATGGGGTGAATTGGGTTTTTAGGCAAATTATGGAATTTTTTCAATATAACTTTTTTTAAGAGAAGGGAACTTTTTCAATATAACTTGTTTTTGACAAAAGTCAGCTTCATTGGACTTTTGACAATCAAGTAGGTTAATTTATGGCAAATGAGCATTATATTTCATACTTTAAATTATGCATAAGTAAATTAAATAATTAAATATATACATTCATGATACAAGTAAAATATGAATTTACTTCAATCAACCATGTATGCAAATTAAGTAACCACGTAAAAAAAGCATTTGCATATGCACGGTGCAAATGTCATGAAAAGGTTTAATGTAGAGTTTGTAAGAAATTTATCAAATAATTTGTGTGCATATAAACTTTCAAAAAAAAGTTATATTAAATATATAATTTGCAGGACACTTGGTGAGTAACTAAATTTAGCTATTAAAAAATTAAATAAATATTCAATTGTTTCAAGCAACAACAAAACACAATTCACTTAATCCAAGCATACATCCCATCATCCTCATGACTATAAAATGAGCAATCATTCATAAATAAAATATTAAGATTGCAAATGAAAAATGAAAAGTTCTAAAAAAAAATTAAAGAGAGTTAAGGATTAGAGAAAATGCATACCAAACAACACCACAATATACATGGTTCGACACCTCCTTGGTCACCTACATCCATATCTTAAGAGAACCTCACTAGGATTTTACTATGGAGTTTTTCTTGCGGGTGGAAAGCAAATATTTACATGCTTTTGCTTGCAGTTGAAGAGCCAACCAATGCTCGCTCTTGTGAGTGGAGAGCCAACCTAATCCACTCTCTCATGCTATGTTTGGTTGGATGGATGGGGTTGAGGAACAATGGAAGAAATGAGGGATAAACGATAATTCTCATGTTTGGTTGGAAGAAATGGAAGAAATACAGGAAGGATGGATGAGCTTCATCCCTCCTTGCTTTAAGTTTTCTTATCCGTCCAAAATTGGGCGCCAGAGAAGAGGGAAATAGTGAATAACTACCTAAATATATAAAATAACAATTTTGACCTTTAAAAAACACTAGTTTTTTTATTATTTTAAATAATGAAGGTATATTGATAAAAAATAAATAAATAAATAAATATGTGTCACTTTATCCATCATTTCCACTGTCTTTTCCATTCAACTAAACAAAACATAAGAAAGACACATTCCTTTCCCTCGAAATGCCTTGTTCATTCTTCCCCTTTCCCTTCCAAACATATTTCCATCACTCCAACGAAACGGAGCATTAAGGTCAAGTGATCTTTCTCTCATATCAACGTTGAGAGAGATCATTTACATAGCTTTGCAAGTTTTTTCCTTGCCAATAGCACATCTTGGTTTTTCGATCTCAATATATATATAAAAAATTAAGTTTAAGTGTTAGAATCATTCCTCCCAATAGATGGATATACAAATTGAAGCTCGCATACCTAAAGTTATAAATGAAATACCCAAATGAAAGCTCTTTCTATATGATTTGACCACTATAAATAATATTTAAGGGTTTGGTTCAATAGTGGTAGCTACCATGAAATAAATGAGATTTAAGTTCTATGGGAGTAAACACCAATAAATAATGTTCAAGTGTATGTACAATAGTATTTATAATTTAAATGTCAAAGACACTGAGTATTTATAATCCATATAAAAGTTGTAGTCATTTAAGATATGAACTGGTTGTTAGAAATATAGTTATTGTAATAGTATTCGAATGTGTGTAAAGAATAATTGACTATAGTATTTGTAATACCCCTAATTTGTAGAGCATTTAATTTAATTATTTTAATTGTATTTTAATTTTTTTACTTGGCTAATTGTTTATGTGCTTTAGAGTGCCTATGTGATTATTTGTTCAATTAGATTATTTAATTTATTTAATGTGCGTTACTTGTCATTAATTGTTTATGTGTAATTGTTTTAATTATTTAATGTGATTTAGTTTATTGGGTTAGTTTTAATTTAATTATGAATTGGGCTTGGAGTTGTTTGACCCAAAAATAAATGAGTTTGGACTAATTAGAGAAGGCCTAGATATTTACATAGAATTATGGAATATAAGGAGGTGGATATAGTATTATATATAGATATAAATATATATTGTAACGACTCACTCCACCACATGGTATGATATTGTCCGTTTTAGGCCTGAGCCCTCACGGTTTTGCTCTTGAACTTTACCCCAAAAGACCTCATACCAATTGGAGTGACATACCTACATATAAACACTTCACATTTTCCTTACCCAGGCAATGTGGGATTGTGCACATGTAGCTTGCCAGTGTGGTAGCCTATCAATGTCTCGCACCCGCCCAAGGCACACCTTCCCACAAAGTCATCACAATCCATCCCCTTGAAGGCCCGACGTCCCTATCGACACACTTCCGGTTTGGTCAGGCTCTGATACCATTTGTAACGATCTACTCCACCATATGGTATGATATTGTTCGTTTTGGACCTGAGCCTCACGATTTTGCTCTTGAACTTTACCCCAAAAAGCCTCATCCCAATTGGAATGACGCACCTACATATAAGCACTTCACCTTTCCCTTACCCAGGTGATGTGGGATTGTGCACCCGTAACTCGCTAGTGTGGTAGCTTGCCAGTGTCTCGCGCCCGCCCATAGGATAATCACACACACACACATATATATATTTATTTATTTATATGTCCACGTTATTTATATATATAAATAGATATATATGTATATGGTAATTAGTGGTTAGTGTTTTTGGTAAGTTATTATGTAGAGGGAATAACAATAATAGTAGTAATATATTTATTATTATTATTATTATTATTTATTTATTTATTTTTAGTAGGTGTTGGGTTAGGATTTGTAGGTTAGTATATATAGATGTGGTAGTCAGAAGAAGAAGATTTTACACATACGTGAGTTACAAAAGAGGCAGAGATCTAGAGAGAGAGAGAGAAGGGGAAGAAAAAGGTGACCGGAGATAGCTTGGAGATCAACGGATCTAGACTGGAGACTTCATATAGTTGATTTTCAATTCGAAAATTATAAGGTAAGTTTATATTCTATCTCCTCCCCTTTATATCTATGATCTCTCTATCTCTTGTTGAACTTTAGGAATTAAATCAGAGAATTTAATTTGATCAATTAGTTGTTATGCATGAATTGAATTGAAGGATTTTGTGTTTAAATGTATTTGTTCTTTAACTTGATGAATTCTTTGGTTTTATGCGTAAAACTTGTTTTAATTTGTTAGATCTTGTGTATATTCATTGTATAAATCATTGGTGATCTTTTGGGACTTAGAAATCATGTTTTATAATCCAAATCGGGGAGTTACAAGTCAAAAATCGGATCTGTGTGTTGCTGCCAAGAGCTTTATGCTTAAGCACAAAGGGTTATGCTCGAGCATAAACCTGTTCCGACGCGTTTTGCTGGAGCACAGAAGGTTGTGCTCGAGCTCTGGGAGGCTATTTTCTCAAAAAGTGTTTTAAATGACTCTATTTTAAGTGTTATTAATCCCGAACATGTTTTATAGGTATTGGAGATAATAATATAGGTCTAAAATATATACTTTGGTGATAGATATTCATGTTTTTATGTTGGATGGAAATAATTAAATTAATTAAATAAAGTTGATTTAATCTTTTATAATATTTAATTTGTGTAATTAAATGTGATTGTTGAATACATTATTATATCAATTATTCTTTTGTAACATTTAATTTGTATAATTAAATACGGTTATTGATTATCTTATTATAATCATTATTGTTGATATACTTATGATCTACGAGCATGATAAATGGATATAATTAATTGTTTATCATTGTTAAACATAAGTAGTTGATATTATGATTTTTTAAATCATGTTTCTATCATCACTATTGTTCTGGAGTTGTACTATATTATGGATTATAATTGTTATGCTATTGATATATGGCTATGATGAGATTTATTCATGTATGTGATGTTGATCATTGAGATAGCTTTTAAGCTAGGCTCCTTGATATGTTGTACCATTGTTAGATATGGTATTATTGTATTGACGAGTAAGTGGGCTGGTTAATAAGTCATGACACTCTACTCGTGCCATTGTCAGATATGACATTTATTTATTGTTGTTATATATATATATATATGACCCATGATACGAGCTTCTCGGGATCTATGGTTAGGATTGAGGCGTATATTGTTAGTTTGATGGGTAGTTGGAATAGGAGATGTGTATGCCCTAGTAGATGATGGTATTCATAGCCACGTTATGTGTGTTTTGCATGATGTCTATCACATAGTTGAAACCGCCCTATTACTAGTGAGAGTCCTAATGTGTATATGTATGTATCTACTATATAGATATAACATGAATTTGGGTAAATG